TTCCTTGTCATGCCAGGGGGCGCTAGGGGAAACAGTGTCTCCCCCAAACCCTTCTGGTCTCCCCTAGTGAGTTTATAGACAATCACCAGGTCCCCCCTCAGCCTTCTCTTGTGAAGGCTGAACAGGTTTAGGTCCTGCAGTCTTTCAATGTAGGGTCTGCCCTGTTGTCCCCGGATCATGCGGGTGGCCCTCCTCTGGACCCTTTCAATGTTGTCCACATCCCTCCTGAAATGGGGCGCACAGAACTGGATGCAGTACTCCAGCTGTGGCCTGACCAGCGTCACATAGAGGGGGAGGATCACCTCCCTGGCTCTACTTAAGATGCACCTGTGGATGCACGACAAGGTCCGGTTAGCCCCGCCAACTGTGACCTTGCATTGTCGGCCCACATTCATCTTGGGAGTCAATAATGACTCCAAGATCCCTTTCGGCCTTCGTGCTCTCTAGAAGGGAGTTTCCCATTCTATAAGTGTGCTGCTGGTTTCTACTGCATGTTTCCCAGTACCTGCTTTTCTTCAGTAAGTATTCCAGACAAACAAAAAAATAGCAATAGCCAGTTGTTCCCAGGCCTGTTTTCTCTTTTTCCATTGTGGGTTTTCATTGTGTTCACCTTTACCTCAAAGGGGTGAAACACAGAATCTTACCATCCTCTAAGATCAATACATGGAGATGCTTTTACACTTCTCTCCACGTAAGGTTTTTATCTAGACTCTCACTGGAACTTGTCAGCTTCTATTCAATTTCCACTTAATCAGCGAAAAAAAGAGCTAGAAAGGCCCTCAACAGATTATCTAATCCAACTCTGTGCTCATCCATCCCAGACAGATGTTTAATGAACCTGCTGTAAAACCCTCCAGTGACAGAGATATCACAATCTCTCTAGGTAATATGTTCCACTGCTTAAATTCTTTCATACTGAAAAAGTTCTTCCTGTATCTAACCTCATACTGTCTTATTTAAATTTAAGATCCTTGCTTCTCATCCTGGTAGTTGACACGGGACAATTGGCAGACATCCTCAAACTCATAACCCTGTTTGCCAGCTGTGTACACTTTCCCCATGCTCCAAGGGTGACAAGTGGTGACTGTGACAGAGCCCTAGCACCTGCTAGTCTGCCTGTGATCCAGAAAAATTTGCCTACCTCCGCTTGCCAGAATCAGGCTTCAATACATTTAGGATAAATCCTGACCATGTGTCAAACTTTCTTTCACCATGATTGTACCTAAGACAAACCTCTCTTAACACCATGCCTGTTTTTATGATGTGGATATCTGGAAGAGGCTGCACAGAATTCTTTACCCTGATAAATGGAGTAGCACAAAACTTGTACCTCTGGCCACTTGATATCTGCAGCCACCTGGGCTGATGGCTGGCAAAATCTCAATGCAAGCTGATCTCTTTTGGTATTCATTTGAGTCTCAAGGCAAAATCTCCTTTGGTATTTATTTGAGTCTGCAATTAGGTAGGCAGACATCTGCTTTAAACAATTCCAGCTACCAGTTTTATCTACATTTCACAACTTTATACATTGTAAGGCCACCAGGATCTTCTAGTCTGGCTCTCTGCATATCCAATGTTATGAATGCCATGCACTGATTTCTGCACCTAACCTAAGAACAGCCAAATTGTCTTGTCCTTGTACTTTATCCTGACAAAGTACAGGTGGAGCTACTTCAAGATCAAGGATTATTTTATATGAATAAATTTTAAGTAAAACTGATTTAATTTCCTTAGTGGCAGGGAAAGAGGCTGATAGCTTCTACATGAAAACTGACTCTTTTTGCCATACTTAATTAACAGGCATATATTATTAAAGGCCAACATTTGTGGAATCCTTGTATATGCCATTATTAGCAGCTTTTGTTGCCTGTTCCTCTGTATGCCTCTACTACTCATGTCAAGTATGAGGTACAGGAAGTACATGTATGCAAAATCCTACTGTGATCACTTCCAATCCCCAATTAAGAATATATAGGTAGCAAAAATCCTAATGAAAAGCAGTCACTTCACATGCAGTGCTGCATGCGGAAACCTTAACCGTTTCCAAAGCAAATATGATGGCATATAACCAAGTCCATCTGAAGCCAACTCAAATGATATAAAGCTGTTTGCATACTTTGAGGAAACATTTTGTTATCTTTTATGATGTTCCCTTATCTGTAATTTATATACCTCACTCCCAGTGTATCTTGATCATCTCTGAAGAATCAGGAGAGCATCTTTGCAGACAGGGAAGTGGTATTTCTTCCCTAGCTTTAATCAAGAGCCTTCAGAAATGTTTATGTCCAGAAAAATCATTGGATGGTTTTGTTCCCTCTGCACTATAACCTTTTTACCTGACTTTTAGGAGTGCCTTGGTGTGAAGAGGCACATGCCACATATGGTCACTTAGCCAGTGGTTACCAGAAATATGTGCTGTGCCTCATCCCTATAGCATGCAAGGAAGAAGTCCAGCACACCACCGGCTCGGGTGGGGACCAATGACCACATTCAGCACTGTAACTAGACTCCTGGTGGCCCTGTGGTGAACTTGTAGTATCAGGCTCCCCTTCACCAGAGGTACTGATAATGATAATAATAATCATTGTTTTCACCATTTTCGGGCCCCCTTTCTGTCCAGGCCGCAGGCGGCCCCCCCTGCCCCCGCCCGGCCCACTGGTCCATGCCTGTGTCCAGCCCTGCCCACGCTCCTGTATGCCGTGTCAGGGCTGAGGGTGGTCGTATTTACAGTTGTACGAGGACGGCTGGAGAGGGCAGGAGGCCGGACTCGGTGAGCTCCCGCGGTCCCTTCCGGCCCTGCTTCTCTAGGACTCGAGTGGTGTAAAAGCAGCCCTGCTCAGCCGGGACCTGTTTGTGAGGCAGCTCCGGGGACCCCCCCTGTCAGGTCCCGCCATGAAGACAGCGCGGGCCCCCAACCGCCGCCGTGCGAGCGCCCCAGGGCAGAACGGGAAGCCCGGGGCGGGGCCGGCTCGTGGCACCCCTCAGGCGCGCGGGCGGGAGCGGCAGCACCGGGCGGGCAGCTCGGGACTGGCTCCCTCGCCCGCCCTCCCCCGACGGCGTCACCTGCGGCACCTCGGGCGGCGCAGCCACCGCCCGCGGGGAGTTACAGCCCCGCCGCCACTTCCTCGTTGCGCGGCCGGCGCCTCACGGACACGCGGGGCGCGCAGGCGGCCGCTATGCGCAG